TTATTCCCCCCACTACTAAATATCCTCTTCATAGTGTGCTCCACCCCTCCGCCCTCTTACCTAGCCGCCGCCGACATTGTAATGAAGACCACTTGGAATCTGGCGCGAGAAATGAGAAGCCTCAATCAGCGATTCAAGTCCAGTGAACCTTTCGCCGGCTTCTGCGACGCTTTAAAATCGACAGTTCATAACAGCCATTGTTGTTTTCACAAAGGAACGAATCAGTGCAGTATTCAAAACTATTAATCGACTATCTTCGTTCGTGTGTGTTTGGAAAATGAAGCTAGGAAAATAAACAGATGTGGACGCGATTCGATTTTAAGGGAGACTGTGATCTTTTTACGCAAGGTTTTTTTTGTTTCACTGTCATCCTCCTCCCCCGTCCTCCTCCTTCTCATCATCATCATCATCATCAATTTCCTGTCGTATCTTTATATCTGGGGCTCCTTTTCTAGACTTCAGGTGACGATATAAACACCTCTTTATCGCTCCTTCAGACATCTCACCGGCTTTTTTTATAATAACCTTCACCTTAAAGAAAGAAAGAAAGAAAGAAAGAAAGAAAGAAAGATAGAAAGAGGAGACTAAATTAAAGTAAGTAGCGAAAAGAAAGAAAGAAAAAAAGAAAGAAAAAAAGATGGGACTAAATTAAAGTAAGTAGCGAAAAGAAAGAATGAAAGAAAGAAAGAAAGATAGAAAGAAAAGAGGAGACTAAATTAAAGTAAAAAGTAAGCGAAAAAAAAAGAAAAAAAAAAAAAAAAAGAAAGAAAAGAAAGAAAGAAAGAAAGGACTAAATTAGAGTAAGTAAAAAAAAAAGAAAAGAAAGAAAGAAAGAAAAAAAGAGGAGACTAAATTAAAGTAAGTAGCAAAGAAAAAAGAAAGAAAGAAAGAAAGAAAGAAAGAAAGAGGGGACTAAATTAGAGTAAGTTGCGAAAAGAAAGAAAGAAAGAAAGAAAGAAAGAGGAGACTAAATTAAAGTAAGTAGCGAAAAGAAAGAAAGAAAGAAAAAAGAAAGAAAGAAAAAAGAAAGAAAGAAAGAGGGGAATAAATTAGAGTAAGTAAAGGAAAGAAAGAATTTATGTAGGAAACAATATGAAAAGGAAAAAGGAGAGATGAAATATACCGAAAAGAAAGAAAGAAAGAAAGAAAGAAAGAAAAAAAGAAAGAAAGGCCCAAGAGCCACTCAAGATGTATGGTTACTGTCTGGTCTTGCATGATCGGAAGAAAAGGCAAGTTGATCACCTTATATAGAAAAAAAATAAACCTAGACTTGAAGAGGTCAAGATTGTATCGATTTGGAAAATATCAGTCCGGGAGTTTGGTTCACGAAGAAGCAGTTCTTGGGAGAAAAAAAAAGTTTTCCGAATGGAATTTCTTCTTACTAGTGAAATACGAAAAGAATGGAGATGGTTCATACTAATCTACGTAGCATGGTGGATCCCAATTGTGATGGACAGGGCTGATGGGTCTAAGAAATATAGCTCGTCAGGAAAAACCTCATGAAAATAGCGATATAGTAACGAGAGTCACCGGACGTTTCGCCCATGGTATAGAGGCTGTAGGTTGGAGATGATCTATTATGGTAAGTTCGACTCCAACTCTGTAACAGTCAGAAATAATTTACGAATGTTTTAAGGTTCATTCCTGGAGCCTTGATGGTTGTACGTCGTTGTGAGCTTAATTTGAGGGCGATTAATTATTTCCCCTCCTACAGTCCCTCCCCGACAGACACGACTTCATAAGCTCTTCGCTCTTCTATCGATATTTCCATGAAAAATGTTATGATGAAATTAATGATTGCCGACCAGCAAGGGTGTTTTCTGTCTTCCAGATCCAAATATCCACTTTTGAACCTAATTAACCATTATAAACAGAGCTCTTAACTATGGCACCGTCTCCATAAATGAAACATAGATGAATGAAAAAATGCTGCCTAAATACACACAATATATATATATATATATATATATATATATATATGATGCATGTTTCTTTAAATAATATAGACAATTTTTGTCTATCTATTTTATGTAAATTCTTTTCATATCGTCTGATAAGCTTAATAACATTATCATTAAACGAAGAAAGAAAGTCACAATATTGATACATATTTTTTAATCCTATCTAAGCTTTTGGTTCCCATAAACCATTATCAAAGATGACAATTTCATTAGATGTCCTGTTTGTTGCTGTTAAGGGTGTTCAATTTTTCTTTGGCTTTTTCGATTTGCCTTTTCACAAGGCTACATTTATAATTCCAAGTGTTGATAGTTTGGTGGACGGCTGGATCATGTAGTTTAAATTGTGTGTATTTAGGCAGCAGTTTTTCATTGATACACAATGAAAAACTGCTGCCTAAATATACACACACACAATATATATATATATATATATATATATATATATATATATTGTGTGTATATATATATATATATATATATATATATCAACAAATATATGTCATTAAACGACAATATTTACCATGAACATAGACATTAACATTTGTATTTGTGTGCGAACGTAAAGAGTTTGTATTTTGATGAATGTTCGTACGTACGTGTATGTGTGTTTCATTGGCAAAAACGCGGATTTCTATGAGAGATCACATTTTTAAATGCGTCCGCTGAAATGCAAAGTGGAAAAGAGAACGAGGCAAGAAGTCGCCCATTATTTATAATGTAAGGACTGCGACCCCTAGTGAACAATTAGGGAATTAAGGAGGAGTTAACTCCGACAGATATAGGAGCCAAACTATAAGTTAAATAATGGGACTTATATGTGGAAAAATCATTGTCATACACAAGAAATTGTTAATGCAATATTCACTTGCAAGAAACAAATAGTTTTACAATTTAAAATATGTTTTAAATAACCCACAAAAGGTTGATAATCCGTATCAATCTCCCAACAAAGATTAAATCTTTCGATTGAAAACAGCAACGAAATCCGGGGAAAACACAGCAGCCAATCATAAGTCGACTCAAGTAAGTGTTAACTGATCTGGAAATAAAAATGTCGGTAATATGATATTAATATGGAAACAAAATGCGAATGGCTGTATTCCAGTAAAGAGTGTCTAATCAGTAAGGATTGGATGGAAGCCACAAGTGATCAAATATTATTGTGAGAAAAGAAAGAGGAGAAAAAAAGGTAAAGAATGACGTAACAGGAAGGAATGAATATAAAAGAGAGAGGTGTCAAGAAAGAAAAGGCGGGAATAAAAAGATGATCATTAAAGAAAAAAGAAAGAAAGTAAGAAGAAAAAATCAACGGTAAAAGAGAAAAGGAAATAGAGAGAAAAAAAGAAAAATATAAATAAGGAGTGGAAGAAAAAGAAATAAATGAAAAAAAAAAGGTTAATGAGAAAACTAAAATGAAAGAAGTCATGAAGGGGGGGGAGAAGGTAAACGGAGAAGTGACTAGACTAAAGAAGAAAGGAAAGGAAAGCAACCAGAAAAAATAGAAAAACAAACGTTAGAAAACACAAGAGAAAAAAAACCAAAAGAAATCAAATAAAAGGAAAGAAAAAAGATAAAAATGAAAAGAAAAAAAGAAAAGAAATCAAAAAGCGGAAGAAGAAAATACGAGAATAAAAAGCCAAAGAAAATAGGAAGCAGAAAAGAAAGGGTGGAAAAAAAGAAGAAAGAAAGAACGAAGGAAGACAACTTTAAAATGGTCAGAAGGCCAGCAAAAAAAGAGAAAGAGATGACAAAAGATGAAAAATAAAAGTACGTAGATAGAAAAGAATAGGAAAGAAAAAAAGAAAATATAGAAAACGCCAAAAGTAAAAATAAATAAAAAATAAAGCAAGTGAAAATAAATAAAGAAGAAAGAAAAAGAAAGCAACAGATCGAAATAACAGAAAAAGAAAAAAAAAAAGAAAGAAAGAAGAAAATTATGAAGCAAACAAGTGTGGAGATAAAAAAAAAGAAAAGAAAAGAACATTCGAGAATAAAAGGCAATAATAAAATAGAATAAAAAAAGGACGTAACATTAAAACGGAAAAGAATGGAGGAAAAGAAAGAAATTAAAGAAAAATCTTTTCAATAAAATTTAAAAGATAATATTAGAAAAATAAAAATAAAACCTAACAGAGTTCAAAAATACACGAAAAGGAAGGAAGGAAAGGGAGAGAGGAAGGGAGGGAGCAAGGAAGGAAGGAAGGAAGGAAGGAAGGAAGGAAGGAAGGAAGGAAGGAAGGAAAAAGGGAGGGAGGAAGGAAAGAAGGAAAGGGAGGGAGGAAGGGAGGAAGGAAGGGATGAAGGAAGGAAGGAAGGGAGGGAGGGAGGAAGAGAGGGAGGGAGAGTGGAAGGGAAAGAGCAAGAAAGGGAGGAACAAAGAAGTGGGAGGGAGGAAAAGAGGAAGGGAGGGTGCAAATAAAGAAGGAATGGGGGGAAGGAGGAAAGGAAAGGAATGGAGAGTGGGAGGAAGGGAACAAAGAAGGAAGGGAGGGAGGAAAAGAAGAGGTAGTGGAAGGGCGGCAGCAAGGAAGGGAGGAAGGAAACGGGAGGGGGGAAAAGGAAGAGCGAAAGGAAGGAAGGAAGAAACAAAGGAAGGGAGAAAGGGGAAAGAAGGAAGGGAGGAAGGAAGAGAGGGGGAAGGAAAAGAAGGGAAAGTGGAAGGAAAGAGCAATGAAGGCTGGAACAAGGAAGTGAAGGGGGAGGAAAAAGAGTAAGGGTGCAAAAGAAGCAAGGAGGGAGGGGGAAAAAAGGAAAGTGGAAGGGCGGCAGCAAGGAAGGGAGGAAGGAAGGAAGGAAGGAAGGAAGGAAGGAAACGGGAGGGCGGAAAAAGGGGAGGGCGAGGAAGGAAGGAAGGAAGGGAAGGAAGGAAGGGAGGAAGGAAGGAAAATGAAAGGGGTGAAAGTGGAAGGAAAGAGCAAGGAAGGGAGGAACAAGGATGTGGGAGGGAAGAAAAGAGGAAGGGAGGGTGCAAGGAAAGAAGGAAGAAAGGAAGGAAGGGGGGGAAGGAGGAAAGAAAAGGGAATGAGGGAGGGAGCAAAG